AAAATACGTAAGGTTATTTTGCTCCGGTTGCTTATGCCGCATAACAAGAAATAAGATATAGTTTGTTTCTGTTATTTATTTATATGGCATCTGCGGTTTATTTCGTTCGTTTTGTTTACGGTTAGAGTGTGTAGAACATTCTGACCATTTGCTGTACTTCAACAATGTTGAATACGTTGTTTATGCAAGATGGATTGTATGGTTAGAGTATATTGAGCGTATGCCCAGTATGTCAAGTTGTAGCATACATGTTGGAATCGTATGCACCTTTGTCTATGCGATTATGCAGATAGCAGCAAATCATGCTTCTTATTCATTTGTTCGTTTTAACCATTTCTGTGGAGTTGTATATATCTTCTGTTCTAAGTCAGTTATATGAGCATTATGTTGCAATTGCATCTCTAAATTAGGAGCTGTTCTCTCGAATACATTTTCACCCGTTACATCGTGCAACTGTGGTTGACTTGAGGCCGTCCATTATATTTACCATTTGCTCAATAGAGTAAACAATGCAATGACCCTACCTCCCCCTGTCGCCGCTCTGACACGAACGAAATTCTTTGCACTGTTATCATAAAAGTTTTTACGTCACAACTTCAGTCAGTTCAGCACTGTACTTATTTTCTTGTTTAGTGTATTCCAGTGGTAATCGCGATGACGACTGACGGAAATTCGTCCGTTCGTACGAAGGCCGAAAAGTTGCTCAGTGAGATTGGCAGCAAGTACGCTGGATTTATTCAAGTAACTGTTATCTTTTTACTAGTTGTATTATTGAAAGGCTGCTGATAATTTTGTACTTGTTTTTTATTGTTACTTTTGTTGTTTTTGATCTGAATAATAATGTTCTACTTTGACCTTACTTTATTCATTCTGTCAACAATGCAATCGTATGTGGTGTGACATAATAATGTTTCTTTATTGCATCGCTTCGGTTTAAGACAGTTCTGAACTCCGTCGTTTAATAGTATAAAAGCAAATTGCAGTTATCAAGAAATAATCAAGAATAATTATGTAAATGGTCCGCAGATTGAATTTAAAACGTTGTGCAGGGTTATTGTTGGGTGATGGGCATTGGTTAGAAGCTGCTTCACATCTTTATCATACCATATTACTATGTATAAAATAGTCTGAATTAGAATCTATTTTCATCATCCAACTGTGATGTCAGCGAACCACTGAATGAACTCCTAAAATTTGCTGGGTACGATCGGACAAGGATTCGCCCAACCGTCGCTTGACTTTTAGCAGACTGACTTTCTGTCACTGTTTATTTTTTTCAACGGTACTGTCGATTAACAAAGCTGGCTGATTCGAAGTAGGAGTGAAAATGAATCTAACGCTCTGAACGAATTAACTTTAACTATAGTTTAACATCGCGATGTAATTACTTTTAAGGTTTTCTTCAACTTGAATGGCAATATATGCCTTGATTAATATTGGACCTCGGTCATATCCCCCATCTATTCTCTCTGAAAGTTAAACTCAGTTTTTATGTCATTCCGATATTATGCTAAATCACCTGATTCTCTTCAAGCATTCAGCGTCTTATGAACCTATGGTCGTCCTGTTTGGAGCAGAATATGAGCAGTTTTCCTTTTCTGAAATCATATTGAAAATTATTGACCTTCTGCCTGTTTCGTCCTTAGCGCATCCTTTGCTGAAAGCTTAGTTTCATGCTTAATGTTTGCCATAAAATTTTTTATCGATTTTGTTTTACCTTGAACATAACCGCGTTACTTTCCGGTATGATTTTAAGGCACGAAATTTACAGCCAAAACGTAGCGCACAATAATTGTCAGCCTAAACAAAGATTTCTTAAGCTTCTTAACCAATATGCTTGAAAAATGGGTCCCCATGTTCTTGTGTTACCCCTTTTCCGTTTTCAATATTGCTTCTATCAAAGAGCAAAAATCTGTGATTTGCGTCACCATGATTCGTGGGATTTTTCTTACACTTGACGGTTGCATTCAAAATGAGGCATTCGAATTATATTCGAAATAAAGTGTTTAACTACCTCAAAAATATCGGATTTTCGCCAACTGTCATAATTGTTTTGCTAAGGCATCATCATCAGTGTTTTTTGTTCCGCTGACCCTTTCGAGACTTGCCGTAGATGTTCCGTATAAGTCCAATAGTAACAGAAAGTGTTATTTTCTTTTCGGCGGGGCCGAAAACTAGCAGCATGTTAATAAACCCGTGTGATCGGTGTTTATTTTCACGTACAACTGAGTGCCATGAACTTTTGATTTCTGTGGTTTTTATCCGTTTTGATCCAACGAACTTCTTGAACTCATCCTGCAGTCAATCCGAAGATCTTTCTATAGGTCGTTTGCTCTCTGTTGGAACCTTATGTAACGCCTCGCCAGTCCAGCGATTTGTCCTTTCTTCTTGCAACTTCCCCTGCGAATTGCAACTTCTTAACTTCGTCACTCGACATCGCAGAACCGTTGTTTGTACTCCTACCATTCGTCCTACCGTTCGTTTCATGGTAGGACAGGTAGTGTAAATAAAGGAACATTGATATGCCATTAGGTTGAACGTTTTACCTAGTACCGGAAATGTAGTTGATATCTGCTATTAAATAATCACCATTCTTACTTATGAAATGATTGAACCATTACTCTTCTCTACATAGTTATCATAGAAAAGTTGCTTAACAGTTGCACCTCTTCAACTGATGTATTATTAGCTTGGAATTCGATAATTTGGGTCTTTTTGTTAAAATTCAGTGCTAACAGTCTGCCGGTGCCACCCGATATCCTTTACAAGTTTTCATTTTATTCCTGCTGTACTTTCCACTATTATACAAGTTAAAAAATTCCTGTTTTAAACGGGTGTGTGATGTGCTAAGAAAGTTGAATGAAACTGGGAATGCATCTTTTATAAAACTGAATCCAATCAACCCAGCAGAAGCTTTTGCTGTTGTTTATTCAGTAAAGTGATGTCATTGCGACAAAATTTATACGCACAAGACGACTTGATATCATAATTAAAGAACATGTCGGCATTCTCGAAATGTGATGCCGAATGTTCGTCATTGCATCCCTTGCCATTGGTGAAGGACATGATATCAGTGAAGCAAGTGTTTCGATAATTGAGAGACTCAGCTCCAGGTTGGGATTATTAATCAAAGTCGTATATTTTGTCATAAAAATACCTAATCTTCTAACCGAACACTTTTTATCCGTGGTATAAGTCAAAGCTGAGTTGCAGTTGGTAATATTTAAAAAATGTAATTTTTCCATCTGAGTAATACATAACTGTCATTCAGGACTCAGGTTATTTATATGTTATTAATACACCAGAATTCCGACTTGATCTTCATTTAATCAGTCCTGATAATGTTGATAATGGAACGTATCGACTGTTCGGTAGAACCTTTCCATTCCTGTTTACGCTTGCGTTTCGTAAACATCAGGAATATGGTCTGTTTATGAATTATGGACCCAGATTCATAAAGTGAATTAAGAAAATTTTAAAGTTAATTACTACTCTTGAACATTGCTGATGACGATGTTCATGCCTTGAACCCAAAGCTTGGACTGGCACCAAAATCCATTGTGTTGTTGCGTGAGCGGTGCTCATTTCGACATTTCGCTGGATACTATTAAAAGTCAGTCTCATGGGTGAAAGGTTTTAGTTCGGTTCTGTTGTTTAAATTGTACTCTTTCGCATATTTATTTTTTTATTGATTTTGAATTTATAGAATTTGGTTTCTTCGCTGTTTCGCTGGCTTGTAGCTTAACACTACCCTGTGACCCTCCTCTAATTAGACGTTTTAATGATAAAATAGTTCACTTAATTTTATGCTCCGACCGTGAAGTTGTCTGGCGTAAATTCACAGCACTGCCGTGAATACAAAAATTGGCGCAATCATACTAGTAACGAGTATAGTAACGTGTCTTCTGTTTCCTGTGTTATGAATAACTGACAAAGTATGTAAATAGTTAACTGTCATTCGCAAAGACGTGCTCATTGTGTCATCTGCTGTAGGAGTACTGATCTACGATTATAGTAGTTGACGGAACGTTTCCGCTTAAAACAGTATTGTTATATGAGATGCTTCCTCTTATCTAATTCCGTAAGAAATTTTTATGGCAAATTTTACTCAAATCCAGTTTTTGAGCTAATAATAAATGTGGGGCCCACTCATTTATTTGGTGATTACAATGAAGTTGCTTACTATTACTAATTTATGCGCTATTTTTGCTTTGAAAAAAAAGTTATAATGAAATTCGTGCCGTACTTCAGATGAAATCTCTGGATGGCATGAAACAGTCGTTTCGATTTCAATCGGTGATGAGTTCAACAAAGTCGGCCGATGCCGTTGTACGTGGGGTGAACGTGACCGATCTTTCCAGTGCTGCCAACTCTTACCTGTACTCGTTGTTGAGGAGCAGTCGTCAGCACCGTCGTGGTTTCCTCCGATCTCTGCTGAACACGTTCGACGAATCAGCGGTGAGTAGCACTCGTATGACCGTCCACAGTAGCATTCGTGTGTAAATTTATGTCCGCCTTCAGAACACGGATCTGGCCGAATTGTTGTACGTCGCAGACAACCTGTCAGCATTTCCGTACCAGACGGTCGACGAGCCGTTGTTCCTCATTCATCATATTGATATAACCGTCGTCGTCACCGCGTCGAGCATTGTGCAGTCGTTCGAAGAGGTAGTGGCCCTCACACTTGTGCCTCGTTCAATTTCTTTATAATCTTTTGGTCGCCATTCCAGCATCTCATCCCGAAAAGTGCGCCAACCAGCGAGGAGTCGTCGACTGACAAAGAAAACAACAGAGAAGAAAAGGAAGAAAGTCCAAGCAGCATTTTAGGTGAATTTTGAGAAATCTGAAATACTGAGAGCTGAGTATTCGTCGTCATCGTCGTTGACTGTTTTCAGCGCGTTTGCCAGAAGATCTCTCACCGATCGAAAACTGTGTACGTAGCAGCCAAAACTGCGTCCTGTTGTTGATGCTCAAGCAGTACTTGAAGGAGCTGTACGGCTTCACGGACGCGTAAGTATTTTTATCGTGGCATTTTTCCCACGTTCACATTCCGATTGCTAACCGTCGTTTTTGTGTCGTTTCAGAAAATTGCAGGAATACTCGCCCAGCGAGCCGGTCAAATCCTACGACAAAGCAGTGATGCGACGCGCTAACCTTCAGTTTTACCCACGATATGCGATCGAGTACTTAACGAAGACGTGCAAAAAGTGCTTCGACGATGACCATGAACGTCGGACTTGGCTTTGCAAACACTTCATTGACGTACTTGCGTTGTTCATCCGTTTTTCTAGTTTTGTTCGTTTCTCACTGTCGTCATTTGTCTTTTTTTCATGATTGATTTGTTTCACACGTACATGTCGTTAAATGTTTCAGTTCAAACAACTGCTGAGTTCGGTCGATTTTACGTGCAACGTTGAGGAAGAAAACGAGGGTTCAAAGATAAACTCCACCATGGTGCAGTATTCGGCGTCGGTCAGCATCCATAGCGACGAAAACGGCAAATGCGGGACATCGGCCGACGACCAGAATATGTTTACGACGTCATCGACTGCCGACGATGCCAGCACATCTAGTCTTGTCAGTGATGTCGTCGGCCCTCTGTTGTGCACCAGCACCTCTCGCGAACGAATCGTGCTTACCATCCATCGTCAAGACACATCAAAGCTGGTAAACGTTTTCATATCCGTCAAGCGGCTGACAGTATAATTTGCAACTGATGTTTTTCGATAATTGACTACGATTACCCTTGTCTGTTCTCGATGTCCACGCACTTCTGAATTGTGCGATTTGTCGTTCATTGCAAACTTCCATAGCCCTCTTATAAGTTCATCGTTACATTTGAGCTGGCAAGTTACAAAGGGATACCTGCAACCACCTGGGGGACTGTTGTCACTGGTGAGCTGCATGCAATGGAGAAGCAGGTTTGTTTGTACATTCCGTTGTTTTCGATCTTGAGAAATTCTTTTGACTACTGTCTATGCTTGCTAGGCGGCTTGGACATAACGACTCTTAGCCCTTCACCCAGGCTGAGTGGCATTCCAGGTGACCGCTCTGTCAGCTTGACTGTCAGACATTTCCTCGCTGAACTCGGGAAGTTTTTTTCCTGTACACTACGGAAAGTTGCGCATCTCGTGCAGGACATTATATAATAACAGGATTCTTTGCGAATTCATAAAATCATGTCTTATCATCCTGTCATGACCGTTAAGAGGTATATCACCTACGTGAAACTCTAGATTAAGTGTAAATCATACCCGTTGGCTGCAGGGTTCTTTAATTAACCGCAGTTTCAGCAGTGTTTTGCGTGCGTAATTGCGTTTTTTGCACTAAAATACCAGCATCAATGTTTCAGAGTCGAGACAACGTGTACGCTGATTTCATTCGCCCATACAAATCGCAAAAGTCGTCATTTGCTGTTCCGGTTGCTGACAGGTCTTCAACGTCGTCGGTCGATTCTGCGAAGAAAAAGAAACCTACCGCCACGTCCATCGCTAAACGAAAGAAACGTCGGCGAGTCGTCGTGGACGTGGACTCAGACAATGACGATTCCGATGACGCGGAATATGACCCATCGTTTCCCTCCTAGCAAGCAACCTCATTTGTTGGCATTACTGTTTTGTTTTGCGCATTTTTTCACTGGCATTATCACATCTTGATTTTGTTATCTCCCATATGTGATTTGTTAGTTGAAATTCATTTTGTACCTAGCTGTGTTATACCGTTCATGTTAGCTCGGCACTTCAGTGCTGTATTATATGTTTCAAATGTTATTACTTTTCGATCTAAATTTATTCACTGACGCATAGTTGCAAGTTTCATTCTTTAATTAAAAATTTGTTTTATTTTATTTAAGTCCTTTAATGATGTGGGCAAAAAATATAAATCTACAGAAGATTCATTTTTGGAGATTTCCATCCATGGCTTCCTGTGGTAGCGTTTTTACGCCTGAACATAGTTGTTTATTTGAAAACTGTTTTATTCCACCGTATGTAAAGGTATATATATATGTCGGAAAGCAAACATGTCTAGCGACTAATATTTGAATCCTGTTGATCGTCATTTTTGTTCTTCAGACACTTAGTCCATATGTCCATGCTAAGATTCCATAGTTTCTCTTGGAGCTGCTCGACTTTGCTATCAGGGAAACTTTCTTCTATCTTCAGGTTGTGATCAAAATATGTACCATTTACGCCATGCATGTCAGACTGGCATAAATGGACAGCGACTCTGGCACCGTTTTCCACTGGCTCTCCATGATAACCACCTGCCCGGAGAAGCTTGGTTTCTACTACACCTGGTTCGCAAACGTTACAAGTAACGCCGGAGTCACGTAGACGTCTCGCCAACGTCAGTGCTAGCATGTGAAGCTCCAATTTCGTCCTCGAGTACTGCTCGTATTTTTCGTAGTTTTTGGAGGCGAACAGGTCGTCCCAGTCGATCGAGTGCCATGAGTGACAAATTGAGCTAACCATAACGATCCGAGACGGTCGGTTATTTTTCAGCAGCTCCAGCAGCAGGTTGACCAATGCGAAGTGCGCAAGATAATTTACCTAAATCACACAGGTCATTGGAAACGTAGAGCAAAGCAGGAAGAGAAAGTTACCACTAATCTGTTTCCATACAACTGTTAGCAACATGCGTCTAGTGATCAACTATTAAGCCCGACTCAGAAACAGCATCTTGCCTACAATGCGATGCAGGTGCTTAAATGCAACGAACCTGTCACCTCTTTAAGGTGACTCGTAGCAGCGAGATGATGCGTTAACGCCGAATAAATCCGGTATCAGAAATTGAAGTTTGATGATTACCGGCAGAATTTAAAACCTGAAACATTTTTATCGGTGTTCCCTTATGTCTATACGGTAGAAATACAATTCCAACACTTATACGGTAGAAACACAATTCCAAGATGATCGCAATATTTCAAACGGACGTTTTAAATGTATCGGTAGTTGTCAGCAGTTCTGTCTTCATTTCACTAGCTTCAGAGGACATTACGTAACAACGATTGCAAATAATAATGCGCATAAATATCGCAAGTACTTGAAATGTTAGTTCCAACTTGTCCAGGCTGATCTCTCGCTTAGGCAGCAACACACCAGCATTACAGAGAACGACGTTGAGGGCGGGGAATCGTGTTTTTAACGTCTCGGCCATCCGCGACACGTTTGACATCAAACTGAAATCTGCGACAATGAAATGGACATTTTCGTTTCCCGTTTTTCTCTTGATCATTTCTACGGAGTCCGTGCAGCGTTGAACGTTGCGACCGTGAACTATCACCAAATTTTCCGCGCTGCGAGCCAGTTGCAATGCGGTCTCCTTACCGATACCGTCCGTGGAGCCGGTAACCAGGATCGTCCTCTTCACTGCACACATCGTTGTCTGTTGTCGAACTACCCACTGCACGGCCTAAATTAGACAATGTAATCAAAAATGCGAAACTGTTTCAATGAAATAGCTATAAATAATGTATATTTCAGATATATCAAATCGAAAGAGTAACGCAATGCCTACCTGTACATCTGATTACTAAATCAAAAAATGCATTTTTCAAATACCTTGCAGCAATCAGATATCCAAATCAAAAATTCACATTCATGAAAATGAAAGAATTTAATATACTGCCGGTATTCGCGTTTTGTAAGGATGAACAACTTAGTCGCCCCGATAACT